TGGGCTTAGAAAAATTCTTTTTCGTATCCATTCTAGGTAGTGAGAATACTGCAAAAAAATTAAATCCGCCAATCACCTTTCATATTTAGATCAACCGACTGCAATTACTTTTAAAATTTTGTGACACTAAGTCAAACTAATTGTTAGTATATTTTTTAGTTATTGAGATTAAACATACATTAACATAGGTTATTCTTTTGAAAAACGTTGGCCTGGATGATTAAAGGGTATTGGGTTAATTAATTCTAAAAATGTAGCCAATTCTTTAAAATTATTTTGAAATATCTTTTCAATATTGAAAATTAGTTCTACAAATTCATCATTTGGCAGTTGCGGATTTCCAAATGTATCTGAATTGACGTTATCATATATATGCCCTTAAAAATCAATCAAAAGAAAAATCATTTAATTCATCGTGATCTTTGTTATATTTAAGACAGGTATCACAGGAGTGGATCCGCAAGGCTTTTATTAAAAGGTAACAACACACGTACCTAATAACATTTTTCTGTAGCAACTCATCTTGACAATAATTTAGGCTGTTAATAATTTCATTATAAAATAAAATACAGGGTGTTCCATTTAAAAAACATACATTTTAATTTGCCAGGCAACAACGCGACACCCTGTATATCCAAAGAAATTTTTAAAATATGTAGGTATTTTTCAAATCCATATAACTTTTATTTAAAACTTTTTGCGTGTCTACAACACAAATATTGAACAATTACGCACTAATGGGACACCCTGTATAAATTATATTTTTAACAATGAAAATGTCTTATAATATTTATCGGTTTGGGCCCTTGGGAAAACGAAAGAATGTTTTCTTGCAGGTATAGCCCTTATTAAAACAGCTTTTGACTGACTGCACAAACAGAATGATGTCTTTTTTTCACTCAATCCTCTCACAGCTTCACAGCTAAAGAGTCAACAAAATAATAATAGTACCTTTAACTTAACACAACAGAGAGCTGAAACAAAATCAATGAAATTATAGACTCAACGAAATTATGCAATCAACGAAATTATACGCACGGCCCAATACCTTACCTAAGTACGCTTCTGAACGCCAAAGCCGTCTTTTCCGTCCGAAGGCGGAGCTTAAGCGATGCGCGACGGGAATCGACGCAAACCGTTGTCGCCAAGAGTGTTTTAGCTGTATTGTATAAGCTGTGATTATAGTTCGACGGACATGTCCTGAAAAGTAGTCGACCTTGAGCATAGAAGACGCACAGTTAAATCTTTATCCTGGATATTTTTAAGACTTTGGGAACAATATCTGTATTTACATTCTCGATTTTGTAAGCTTTTGATTTTTTTGGTAATTTTTTATTTATTTTAATAAGGAATGAAGCGAAAATTCGAAAATACCGTTAAAACATATAAAAGTCAGCAATAATTTCTTCATTTATCGTTTCTTCTTTTCTAAATTATATTTTGCAGTAGAATAGAATATAAAAAAGAAACAAATTCTTGAATATAATTTTATTTAACCTAAGTGGTACATTTCTTAATTACACCGGGCGGCCTTTGATTAGTTTCAATTAAATTATATGATGATCGCTTGAAAATGGAAACCTCAAAAATAATTTATCAAATTAATCAAACAATCATATACCCACTTTTTTAACATCATCCTAATCAGAATAAATGTAATTTTATTTAATTTTCATGATCTTTGATCAAAATTTAATCGAAATTCTAGTGAATATTCAATCAAAATTTATTCAAGGTTTCCTCAAATTAAATTAAACAAAATTTATTCGAAATTTATTATAATTTTAATCAAAATTTAATCGAAATTAAATCAAAACCAGATCGAAATCGAAACTTATCAAAGCTAATCGAAACTTAACATAATCCTGATAAAAATAAATGTAATTTTTGCATGATTTTTAATCAAAATTCAATGAATATTCAATCAAAACTAATTCAAAGTTTCCTTGAATTGTAATAGACATTTAATCACAATCGAAATTTAATCAAAGCTTTGACCAAACTTTAAACGAAATATATTTGAAATTTATTCCAATTTTAATCAACATTTGACCGAATTTTAATTGAAATTTATTCGAAATCGAAAATTTTATTTAATTTTATATGATTCTGGATCGAAATCTTATCCAAATTCAATCAAAATTGAACAAAATTTAATCTAATTTTAATCGAAACTAATCGAAAAATCATCCAGCATTGACATAATACTAAACCTAGTGAAAGTGGAGTTTGATTTCACATATTAACATTACCACACAAAATACATTATACAAGTAACAACAAATTACCCCATTTATGTATTCACCACGTACAGCGTTTTAAATAAAAATAAATCGATAATTAAAAAAAAAACGAAACTATTTAGAAATTAGAATTGAAATCTTCGCATTTTTATTCTCTCTTTTGACACAAATCGACTATCCCAAATACCATTAAAAATATTTATCATTGTCAATTGATGTAAATAAGCAGTCTAAAGATTATATTGCAAATTAAGATTTAATAAATTTTGACGCGCTCTCTCTAGATAAATAATAATTTTAGAAAAATTTCCAACTAAAAATATAGGAAATTTAACTTTTGTTGTAGGATGCACACTGACACTGACAAAATGTAATAAAAGTGCGTTTAAAATGTTAGATGGAAAACATGACGTTATAAGACAACTGACGATTATTTATTATACGTCATTTGTCACATCTCAATTCGACATAAACGCATCGCGTCACGTGCTATCATCTAACAATTGTTATGTCAGCTGGAACGAGTAAAGGTGCAGTAAGAATTCCGGCACAAAATTAACCTCATGTAAATAGTAAAAATCTATTCTATATCTTTTAAGGTCACACGTAGGTTCTTGGTTTATCAGCAAACAACTACGTTATCATCAACAACCGAATGGTTCAGCTTAAGAGGAAAAGATGCTACTTGGATACCCTTTCCACTTAAGCTGAACCATTCAGGTTATAAACAACTTCGTTATCGGATGTGACTTTGAATTTATCGATTTTTGCTGTTTTGGACCTTAGAAATTCTTACAATGGTCGATTTTGTACCAGAACTCTTATTGCTCCATTACTAGCACGTCAAATGTCATATATTACCATCCCAACGGATCCCGGACAACCTCTAAAAATATTAAATAATCAGACGACTTTTTTCTTTAGTTCAAGCGATATTTTTGATAAATTTTTCATGAAAATATCTAAAGAGATGTTCAATAGGAACGATAGCGACGAAAACTATAGATTTCAAACAAAAACAAATATTAAAAAAAAAAACTAAATCACTGATAGAATTTGAAGCTTTTAATTCTATAGAACGAAAAAAAAATACCTGACGAAACTGAAATGATTCCTATAAAAATAATTGAATGTGCGACAAGACGAAATTCAACAACTTTGTAGAATATTTTTTTTACTTTCTGCTTTTTGAAAATTAAATACCATCCGCCATTATTTAATTGTAAATAAAAAAAGAATTTTAGAGCAACGCGCGATTATTTTTATTCTAAAACAACCGATTCCTTAGGAATAGGCAAAATAATCGATTTATCAATTATTAAATATTTTTTTATGAAAATCGATTATCGTTTTTTTAATTACTCGATTGTTTTCAATTAATCGATTATTTTCAATTTTATGTTCGATTTTAAATAATTGAAATAATTTAATAATCGAATAATCGATTTTAAAATACAAAAAAATTAAAATGTTCTTAATTATGATAAAATTAAGTTTTTTTATTATTTTTTTTACGAACAATTTGTAAACGCAACTCAATTAATTGGACAATCGAAGTTTTAATTTTATCCTTCAAATAATCGATTATTCGGATATAAACAATTTAATCATTAATCGAAAATAATCGATTTATTAAAAAAATAATTATTTAAAAATAACTGATCAACGGAAAATAAGTTTTCACTCGATTAATCAAAAACAATCGATTAAGCGAGAATATTCGATTAATCGATTATTTACCAGATTTAGCTCCAAGCTATTTTTCTGATAAATACGAGAACTAGATGATTTAACAGCGTGTTGAAATAATGGCCACCGTATTAACCAGATCTAGCTCTATAAGACTTTTTCCTTTCACCAAAGTCGAATTTTTAAATACATAAACTATTGGAAACTGTTTTTTTTATTAAGACTGAACGATTAATAAAATAATCGATTAATTTCAATTAATTGATTACTTTTTATTAATATTTTCGATTAATCGATTATTCCATTATTTTCAATTCGATTAATCGATTATTTTCGATTAATCGATTATTTTTTATTAGATCGAAAGAAAATAATTTTTTTTGTATTTCCTTTTAAATCGATTATTCGATTGTCTTAAATTACTATAATTAATTCATTTATCAGCATCGAATATCTTTGAAAACACCGAAATTAATCGATTAATCGAGAATAAACAATTAATCGAGAACAATCGATGAATCAAATATCGAAAATAATCGATTAATCAAAAAATCCAAAATAATCGAAAATTCGATAAATCTAAAATAATAGATTATTTGAAACCAAGCGAATGAATCAAAAATAATCGATCATCCGAAAATAATCCATTAATCGATAAATCGAGAACAATCGATGAATCAAAAATCGAAAATAATCGATCATTTAAGAACAATCGATATATCAAAAATAATCGATAAATAGAAAATAGCTGATTAATCAAAAAATCAGTAAATCGAAAATAATCGATTAATCTAAACTAATAGATTAATCGAAAATAATAGATTCATCGAAAATAATCAATTAATCGAAAACAATCGATTATTCGAAACTAATCGATTAATCGAAAATATTAGATAAATCGAATATAGTCGATTAATCGAAAATAATCGATTTATCGTAAATAATCGATTTATCGTAAATAATCGATTTATCGTAAATATTCAATGAATCGAAAACAATCGATTATTAGAAAATATTCGATTATTAGAAAATAATCTATTATTAGAAAATAATCGATTATTAGAAAATAATCGATTATTAGAAAATAATCGATTAATCGATAATAATCGGTTATCGAAAATAATCGATTAATTGAAAATAAACGATTAATTTAAAAACGACAAAAAATTGAGTATCGATTTTCCTACAAAAAATCGAATTAATTGATTAATCGATTATTTTGCACACCCCTAATTTACCGTATTCGCCAGATTTAGTTCCTGGCGACTTTTTCCGTTTACCAAAAACGAATCTAAAATTAATATGTGAATTATTGACAACAAAGAGTTTTTTGACGCAGCAGCTGTCGTATTCTCCAGATTTAAGTCCATGCGATTTTTCCGATTTCTAAAATCGAATGGAACATGATATTAAGATCTTGAATTAATAAATGAGCTTTTGAGTAATAAAACAGCGTTTTAATTCCGCAGCCACCGTATTAGCCAGATTTAGTTCCGTGCAACTTTTTCCATTCACCAAAACCGAATTTAGAATTAATTCGAAAACTATTGGTAAGAAAGACAGTATTGGCAACCGTATTTACCAGATTTAGCTCCGTGCGATTTTTGTGATATCCAAAGCTCAATATAACATTGTATTAAGATCTTGGATTGATGCCGCAGCCACCGTATTCACCTGATCTAACTCAGTGCCATTTTTTCCGAATTCTTAAAACGAATACGACGCTATTTTGAGCCTTTGACTGATGAAACAGCATTTTTATGCTGCAACCGCCGTAATCGCCAGATCTGGTGTGGCGTGATTTTTTACCATCTCCGAATGAAAAGGGGTCTTTAAAATGACATCGTTTTGATATCTTGTACTAATAATACTTAAATCTTTGTCCAATAACGATGAATTGCTGCAGCAGTCACCATATTCACCAGATTCAACTCCTTCTGGTTCTTCCGTTTTCTAAAGATGAAGGGATCTTTAAAATTACATCGTTTTGACATCTTGTACTAATAATACTTAAATATTTGTCCAATAACGACCCACTGTTGCAGCGGTCACCAGATTCAACTCCGTCTGGTTTTTCCGTTTTCAAAAGATGAAGGCATCTTTAAAATTACATCGTTTGAATATTTTCGACTATTAATCCTTAAATATTTGTTCAATAAAGACGCATTGTTACTGCAGCTGCCGTATTCCCCAGATTTAACTCTGCTCGATTTTACCCTTTCTGGAGTCTTTAAAATGTCAATGTTATAATAACTTGGACCGATAATACTTAAATATTGGTCCAGTAAGGATGCTTTGTTGCCGCGACCATCGAATTCTCCAGATCTAGCTCCGCGCGACTTTTTCACGTTACCGACGAATATGAAAGGCATTGAGACGGTAAAGAAGATAAAGAAATAAACGTTTTGAAGATCGGATGAAGATTTAACTAAAATTTGTATGTTTTAAAAAAAAAAAAAACGGTTTTGTTGAATTTCGTCTTGCGAAAAGTCTACTTCGTTTCTAGCGTCTACTTAAAAAGTTAAAAGTTGGAATATTCTAGTTTCTCTGAGTGAAGCAGTCACGGTGAAGGGGGGGAATCATCTGAAAACGTTTTTAAAGATTTCGACTTTTTTGGCGGCGGCTGTTGTTGATTGGGCGAACTGTAAGGGTGTCTCCCAGCGGCACTGAAAATAAAAAAACAATAACAACGTTAGCATTGACTTAAAACGATTAATTCATATACAGGACGATTTAAATGTTGAATACAATATTTGTCTATATAAAAAAACTGTCTAAAATATATGAAAAAAAGAATTATTAATTGTAAAAAAGAACCGATTATTAAAAAGATTGGATTGGCAAAAAGAACTTATTATTGAATAGAATCGATTATTAAAAAGTCTACTAGTAAAAAAAATTGAATTCTAAAAAAATTGGTAAAAATCCATTAATCAAAACGAATAGATAAAAAATCTATTGTAAAAAATAATCGATTGTAAAAAGAACCGATTACTGAAAAAAATCCATTATTAAAAAGTGTCGATTGCTAAAAAATCGATTACTAAAAAATCGATTGTAAAAAGAATCGATGGTAAAAAACGAAAAATAAAAAAGAATACGCCGCTAAAAAGAATTGACTGCGAAAAAAATCGATTGTAACATGAATCGATTATTAAAAAGAATCGAATGATAAAAAAGAATCGGTTATTCCTTTATAAAAGGTAAAATGAATTAATAGTAAAACATTGTAAAAGGAATTATTGTTAATACAAATATTCGACTTAAAAAAGCATCGACTAACAAAAAAAATTATAAAAAGAATGACTTAAAAATATCGATTGTTAAAAAAAATCGACTGTTAAAAAAAATTAATTGTTAAAGAATCGATTGTAAAAAACGATTGTTAAAAAAGGATTGATTGCAAAAAAAAACGATAAATAAAAAGAATCGATTGTAAAAAGAATTATTGTAAGAATCGATTGTTAATAAGAATATTCGATTTAAAAAAGTATAGATTGTAAAAAAGATATGCCTGAAAAAAATTGATTGTAAAAAGAATCAATAATTAAAAACAATCGACTGTTAAAAAAATTGATTGTTAAAAGAACCGAAAATTAAAGAGTTGATTGTTACAAAGAATCGACTAAAAAAATGGACTCTTAAAAAAGAAACGATTGTTACAAAAAATCGATTATTAAAAATAATCAACTGTTAATAAAATCGATTGTTTTAAAAGAATCTACTGTTAAAAATAATCGTCTGTATAAAAATTGATTGCAAAAAAAATTGATTGTTAAAAACGAATTGATGGCAAAAAACCGATAATTGAAAAGAATCGATTGTTACATAGAATCAACAGTAAAAATGGATTGTTAAAAAAGAAACGATTGTAAAAATTACATGAGTGTTAAAAAAGAAACAAATGTTAAAACAGAAACGATTGATAAAAAAGATTATTAAAAAAATGTATTGTACAATGAATCGATTATTAAAAAGAATCGATTGTAAAAAAGAGTCGTTTATTTTTCTTTGTAAAAATATGTAAAATGAATTACTGGTAAAAAAGAATCGATTGTTAATAAAAATAGTCGATTTAAAAAAACATCGACTTAAAAAAATTGATTATAAAAAGAATCAACTGTTGAAAATAAACGACTTGTCAAAAAAACAACCTTATGTTAAAAAAAATCGATTTTAAGAAAAGACTCGATTATTAAAAATCGACTGTAAAAAAATTTATTGTTAAAAGAATCGATTGTAAAAAACGATTGTTGAAATCGAATTGATTGTAAACAGAATCGATTGTTACATAAAATCGATTATAAAAAATGGATTGTTAAAAAAGAATCAATTAAAGAATCGATTATTAAAAAGAATTTATTATTCTAAAGATTCGACTATAAAAAATGGATTGTTAAAAAAGAATCAATTATTAAAGAATCGATTATTCTAAAGATTCGACTGTTAATAAAATCGATTGTCTTGAAAGAATCTATTGTTAAAAAGAATTTATAGTAAAAAGGAATCGATTATTAAAAAGAATCAACTGTTAATAAAATCGACCGTCTTGAAAGTTTCTATTGTTAAAAACAATCGATTATAAAAACGAATCGACTTAAAAAAATTGATTATAAAAAGAATCGAACGTTAAAAAGAATCAACTGTTGAAAATAAACGACTTGTCAAAAAAACCTTGTTAAAAAAAATCGATTTTAAAAAGAATCGATTGTTAAAAATCGACTGTAAAAAATTGATTGTTAAAAGAATCGATTGTAAAAAACGATTGTTGAAATCGAATTGATTGTAAAATGAATCGATTGTTACATAAAATCGACTGTAAAAAATGGATTGTTAAAAAAGAATCGATTATTAAAAAGAATTTATTAAAATCGACTGTCTTGAAAGAATATAATGTTAAAAAGAATCAACTGTTGAAAATAAACGACTTGTCAAAAAAACAACCTTATGTTAAAAAAAATCGATTTTAAGAAAAAACTCGATTATTAAAAATCGACTGTAAAAAAATTGATTGTTAAAAGAATCGATTGTATAAAACGATTGTTGAAATCGAATTGATTGTAAACAGAATCGATTGTTACATAAAATCGATTATAAAAAATGGATTGTTACAAAAGAATCAATTAAAGAATCGATTATTAAAAAGAATTTATTATTCTAAAGATTCGACTGTTAATAAAATCTAAAAATTGATTGTTAAAAGAATCGATTGTTACATAAAATCGACTGTAAAAAATGGATTGTTAAAAAAGAATCGATTATTAAAAAGAATTTATTAAAATCGACTGTCTTGAAAGAATATAATGTTAAAAAGAATCAACTGTTAATAAAATCGACTGTCTTGAAAGTATCGTTAAAATTAATCGATTATAAAAAAGAATCGATTTAGTTGTTGATAGATTACTTTCCTATGTATAAAACATGTTAAAATCCGTTAAAGAACCCATAATAAAAATAATCGATTGTTACAAAAATCGACTATAAAAAATGGATGGTTAAAAAAGCGATTGTAAAAATTAAACGGGTGTTAAAAAAGAAACGATTGTTAAAAAAGATTATTTAAAAAATGTAATGTACAATGAATCGATTATTAAAAAGAATCGATTTGTAAAACTAATCAATTGTAAAAAAAATCGTTTATTTTGCTTTGTAAAAATATGTAAAAAAGAATTACTGGTAAAAAAGAATCGATTGTTAATAAAAATATTCGATTTAAAAAAGATCGATTGTAAAAAATAATCGACTTAAAAAAATTATTACAAAAAGAATCGATCATTTAAAAAATTCTAGTGTTGAAAATAATCGACTTGTCAAAAAATTGATAAAATGATCGACTCTTTATTGTTAAAAAAAATCGATTAAAAAAGCATCGATTGTTAAAAAAAATCGAATGTAAAAAAGAAACGATTGTTAAAAAAATCGATTATTAAAAAGAATATTAGTCTAAAGAATCGACCATAAATAAAATCGACTGTCTTGAAAGAATCTATTAGAAAGATTCGATTATAAAAAAGAATCAACTGGTAATAATATCGATTATCTTGAAAGTATCTATTGTTAAAATTAATCGATTATAAAAAAGAATCGATTTAATTGTCGATAGATTATTTTTCTATGTACAAAACAGGTTAAAATCAGTTGTAAAAAAGAGTCGATTGTTAACAAGAAACTTTTTTAAAAAGAATCATTCGCTAAAAGAATCGATTGTTAAAAAATCGATTAACGATTTTTATAAAAAAAAAAAAATAATTTAAATGTTCACTGTTCTTTTCCTAAGTAAAAAATCTAATTTAAATAAAAATAACCCATATTGGAAATTCATAATGTAATGTAAAGAGAAATGGAAAATCCACACAACATCCTGTATCTTGGTTAAAAAGGATGTAAAACACATTAATAATGGGGTTTATTTAGAACCACCTCGATGAGCATTATCCATTTAATATATGCGGATTTACCAATGAATCTATTTTAAAATTAAATCTCAAATTTAAGCACGCCTATGGAAGAATAATTTGTTACAATCTCCACCCTTAAATCTATTAAATCTATATAATAAATTAAAATTTAAAAACCTAATAGAGAAAAAAAAATGTTTTTATATTCAACTCATAATAGATCCAACTTTTAAATCACCCTGTATAAGCAAGTGAGGCAAAATTTTTAATGTTTAATAGGAAAACTACCGCTAGGATGGATTTTTTTTGGAGTTTTCCTAATTTTTTTTTTTTAACAATTATTCGAAAATAATTAGTAAGCTGGAACAACCACCGCTCCTAAACCAAATGTTAATTATTTCTTAAGTTAGCTGACAAACTAAATATTACAGTGTAGTAATGAAAGCTTAGTGAAAGTGCAACGAAAAGCTATACTAAAAAAGCATTCGGTCGATGGTCACAACAAGTATGAAAAAAGCATGATACAAAGTCTTCAAATAAAAAATATTTTTTAGATATTTTCCCGTAATTACCTAGCTCGAATCAAATATTATTTATTTATACTTGATGATGACCAACTTTTCAATCCGACTTTACCAAAAAAATATGAAAACTAATATTTTTCATCGAATCATCCAATTAATACTTACATGTACTGTGTTGTAGTGGTAGTACAGTAGATCTACTTGAATTTATTTAGGTACTAAGTTTTAATAATGTCTTGAATACCTGTAATGATACCAATCCCAAATGAATCACCACAGAAACCGATGATTTGATTTTTTTAGACAATGAATAGATTGAATGAATGATTAGATGAAAATTACGATTTTTTATTTGTATAAATAATGAAAGTCGTGTTAATTGAAAAATATAAAATATAATGCAATTAGTAGTTAATGCTTTGGCAACAAAATCTAAAGCTGATAACTCTTAGATAATTTTCTTTTCTTTAATTCATTGTCATTGCACTATACTGACTTTAAACGACGTAAGAATGCAAAATGTTCGTCAAACGTAGGTATGGTTATATGTCTAAAAATGTCACTTTAGTCAAAAAAGTACTTCAAATGCAAAAAAAGTACTTCAAATGCAAAAAAAGTACTTCAAATGCAAAAAAAGTACTTCAAATGCAAAAAAAGTACTTCAAATGCAAAAAAAGTACTTCAAATGCAAAAAAAGTACTTCAAATGCAAAAAACGTACTTTAAATACAAAAAAGTTACTTCA